ACAAGGTACTACAAAAAATGTTAAATCTGATAAACCTTATACTATAAGCTTTGTATATTTTTGCAAATACTTAGCTGATTTAGCGTACATACCTTTAAAATCTCAAATCTTTCTAGACTTTATTTTTCAAACTTTTTGGAAATGCCAATATGGCCGATGGACACCCCAAAAAAATTTCATGATCAAATTAAACAAGTAATATATTAATAAAATAATAATTTCTGTCTCCTAAAATTACATTTAAGAATTACCTTGGTTTGATTTATGTTATTCAATGCTCAAATAAGGTTTAATTGTAAAAATGTTCATGACCTACTTTTAGGCTGGCCAATCCAATCGCAAAAGATTGTTAGATCCGTAAACGTGTCATGGGCGCCGAAAGAAAAGTTTCTCAAAAAATTCAAATTTTAAATAACTATCAATACGGCATGATTTTCAATATATATTGGTAAATCATAACAGTATTTCTAGTCAAATACATACAAGGAAAAAGAAGACGAAATTTGAAAAGCAACATTACAGCAGGAAGGGAGCTACAGAGTCTGTAAATATTTGAATTTTTCATTTCATTCCATTTCGTCGAGTTTTGATGGCTAGATGTTTTGCAGGGCTTATATCGTCATTAAGCATCTGTCAGCTCGTGCTTTTTTTGTTTCTTTTCAATTGAGAAGTATTTTTACTCCAAATTGAGCGAGTTTGGAGGCTTTTTGAACAAGGATCTTGTAAAAATCTTTCTTTTGATTTCATTTTTTTTTCAGGTCTAGATGTTTGTTGGCATCCTTATAGATTCGTCTATTGTGTGAGATTGGGTAGGGCAGAAGGCCGCTAGGGCCCAAAAAGGACTTAATACAACTTCCTGTGTTCCTAGGCTCTGGTATTTGCAGGCATTTTCATCAACTGACTGAAATTCATCACTGAAATTTTTCTGTTTTCTTCAGAAAAATACTTTTTTTAGCTACACTAACAACTCGTCAAAAATACTCATTTCAGTACACATTTACAAGAAGTTACTATGAAAAGTAATACTTACATGTAAACAGATGTTTTTGTGTCGTAATAATGGTTCAGTAGTTCACGAACGCAACAATATTAGAAGAAATACATGAAAACTTGTCCTCACGTAGGGTCAAACGGCAGCCATCTTGAAATAATAAAAATTTAGGTCAAGGTCGGGTCAAAGTAAATTGATTTTTCAAAGCGGGAAATTCAAAAGTTTAAAACTTTCAAACTTTGAATCATAGATCCCGGCCAGATTCTTTTGTAGTAGGATCATTAGCTCAATAAATATTCCTGAATTATTCTTTTAGCCCATGAGATCCTAATACAAAACGAGCTGACCAACATATATGCTTTGAATCAGAATTCAGGCAATATTGTGTCATCGATAATGTGTAGAAACACAAAGAACAAATGAATCGGTATTGTGATGAGCGTGTACAACCTATGCAGCGATCAGTTTTAATGGTTCAATTTTCATATTACCCTTATGTATCTAAAAGTTTTACAAATACAAATATGTCCAATAAAAGAAAATATTATCTGTCCAATATAATTAAACCACATTTCTAGAAGTAATTTTACATATAGATTTCAAATATGATATCATTTTGAATGAACTTTTGAACTGCTAATGAATGATGAACATCAATATTATTTTTATTCGCATCTAGGACAGCAAACCTTAAGCCCCAGTCACATTTGATCTACGGCAACCGTACGATTTCGTAGAGGAAATGTGATTGAGGTTTTAATTTCCATCCCAGTATGCAATTGTACATCCTTAAAATGGCTGCCATGAATCTATGATACAAAACTGACTCAGATTCATCAGCGAAGGAGCCTCGCTGAGAGAACTCTAGGCGTGGTTAACGGCCAGTGTAATAACTGATCATGAAACTGACGAGGAACCTTTACCGATTGAACTTGTCTCAGGAAAATCAATGGCACTAAACGGGCGTTAACATGCACGTTTTCACAATTCACTATTCATATATATCATATATCTTCAATGTCACCGAAAAAATCATATTCCACGTAATTGTATATTAAATATAGGCCTTCCTGTTTCGAAAGTATTGCTGAAGTATAAAAGAACAGTAATGCGTATTTTACCCTTTTGATCGATTTTCCCAGGTAATATAAATGATCGTACATGTATATAAAAATAGCTACCGGATAAAATTCACGACACCTTTTGGATGTTTCTCATGGCCTTCGTAAAGGAATCACCAGGTTATCTCATTTTATTCTTGCTCATTTAGCAATTTTAGATTCACAATTAGAGATCAGATCAACTTTTTAACATTTTTTTTGTAACTAGTTTTTCTCGCATTAGCCAAAAACTTACCATAATAAAATAAAGATCATAAAGACTATATATTTGTAATTTTAATATGTTCTTTTTCATTCTGACACCAATCTTACTTTATTTTATATTTAAAGCAGATATGAAATGGTATTTCTAACCTAAAAGGAATCAATATAATTTTTTGATAGATGTATTTGGACATGTTTTCTCATCAGTAGTGTGGAAATTATTTTACTCTAACGATCGTTATTAGCTGCTTAATAAGCAATATTCGAATTGGTTGTGACGTTATTGGCCCCCACGTGATCTCTCACTGGTCCCCACATGGCCCGTTTTGGTCCATTGGATCATGACGTCATAATGCCGAAATGTTTTGTTATTAGTTTACACAACAATCCTATGGTTGCCGTGACGTTGTGATTACTAAGAAACCAATAAACCAAAGCTATATTTTGTATATGACGTTACTAATCACGTGGGGGCCAATTTGATTAATCAGTTAGTTTTATTTCGTTATCTATGACCGTTAGCAGTTATCTAACATTTATTTTATAATGGCTATCGCAAGAACTCTACGTTGGGCTTACAATGGAGAAAACCGCGTTTTTGTAGCTGCAAGTTGAGAAAAGTTATTTCAGTTGTCCTTTAAAGTTAAATTAAATACACTTCATAATAAAATACAGGGTGGGCAAATAAAAATTGGAAGATTTTTCTATTAATTCAATTGTCTTTATTATTGCAGTTCAATTCACAAAAACTCAGATAATAGTTAAATGATTTTTTGGGAAAATGTTAAAGATAAAACTATGTATGTATATTTATTTTTGGCTTCTCACGGTCATGATCTGTATACTGCGGGTGTCATGAAAAATTTCCAAATTTTCTCTGCTTGGGACATCACTGCTGAAACTTTATCTTTCATACCATACAATGTGTACCCTTCAAATGGTCCCAACAGAGCTTCCGTCAATGAAAACATATGTAGTTATCTATGGGAGAAGCAAGACATGTCTCCCTTGGATAATATAGCTAAACTGACCTCAGCCTTTTCAAAACTGGCACAATATGTCCCTAAAACTATAATTTAAGCCACGTATGACTATCAAATATAGCTCAGACTGATTGTTCAGGTGAATGGAGGATATGTTCAGGAAACCCCATTGTTGAGTAATCAAATGTTGAGCTTGTGTATTAATATTTATACAAGCTATTTATAAAGTATTGAAGATAATTTGTGACAAACAAAAAATTTACAATCGATGGAAGAAATGTTCCGATTTTTTGGCCCACCCTGTATATTGATTTTTAAAGATACGGAAGTGCCTCATCGTGGATTTGTAAAATAATTAATCACTTTCATTTTGACACAAATCTTATTTTATCTGAGATTTGAATCTTAAAAATTCACTTCATTATCAAATCTTGATTCTAAAAAATACACCACATGTCATTTTCAGTACGTAACTTTCCAGAAAAAACCGTTATTAAGAATTGAATTAATGATTTGTCATTAATAAAAACTATTGTTCCACGGACTTTAAATACGTCAGATACCCTCAGACTTAACCAAACATCACGGACTATATAGGACTATATTTTTAGTTGGTACGCCCTCTTGAGCTCACTTGGGGATGTCTGATTGCATGGCCGAAGGACCCGCATCTCTGGGAGTCGGGGGTTTGGTCCCCCGGGGAATTTTTATTTTACGTTATTTGATGCAATCTGACCGTGTTTATCAACTTGATATAGTTATATTCTGATAAAACATAATGGTTGAATATACAAATACAGAATCATCAATAAATGTGCAAACAAATTAATGTATTTCAACGCATTTCTAACAGGGCATACTAACAGGTGCTACGCCCATGAGGTTTATCATGTTTGCTAGGGCCCTAAGCTTAGACTGAGGACATGAAGATCCTCTTGCAATTGACTTGTTCGGAACATAATATTGACTGACATTACTTATCTATTTCAATAGTTCGATTATAGCACAATATATGATCTATTTTGATTCAGTGTTGTGTTTAAGAAAATAGAAAATACATAGTTTATAGCTAAAACTGGTTATGATTGCTAGAAACACAGAAACTTTCTGTGCTGCTTCTGGATACATAGTGCAAGGATCCGAGGGCGCTTCCGACTTCAAATGCCAAGCGTAGTGTACAAACCGCACAACCGCATCCAGGCAAGAAAGAAAGTGTGCTAAATTCAACGCCCCGTCAGGGAATCGAACCAAGGACAATCTGATCCAAAGTTCGGTGCTCTACCAACTGAGCTGTTAAGACTAATGTTAAAGCTATAAAATACTCTCAATACCTTACATGTTCGGGAATTATTCTTAAAGATAAGAGCCTACGGGCTACTGTTTATATGTTATGATATAATGTTCTTCCACTTTAAAAAGAAACATCCACTTTGAATTGTGTAATAAACTGTTGAACTTTAAACAAACAATCGCAACATAGCAATATGACAAGATAAGCCTGATTTTGTAACACAAGCGCAGCTATCTTGAACTGAAATTTTCAATCCAAATTATTTACTTCCAATCATGTTTCTGTATGCTCTCCTGGGATTTGCATCAATTTACTGCATTTATTTCATCATAAAATGTATCGCGAAACCGCGAACTGATGCACCAGGACCAAAGGGATGGCCAATAGTAGGAAATGCTTTAGAATTCGATATGAAACTCTCGACAGTGCAGATGGCAAACTGGGCGAAGAAATATGGTGATATTTTTAAAATAAACCTATTGGGAGAAGATATCGTCGTCATCAACGGAGAGTTGTGTTATGAAGCTCTTGTTCAACGCGGTGAAGATTTTGCAGGACGACCATTTTTTAATCGCGGTGCGTGGGTGTCAGAAATGTGCGAAGACATCGCATTCGCTGATAATGATGCACGACAGAAAAAGCGAAGGAAGATTGCACATAGTGGACTAAAACAATACGGAACCGGAGTGGCTCATATTGAACAGATAAACGCAAATGAGATCAAAGCTTTCTTGAAAAAAGTGGAGGACAGGAACGGTTCTCCATTCGATCCCCGTGCTGACGTTTACAAGTGCGTCATAAAGATCATGACTTTAATGGTAAGATGCTCATTATTTCACCCCATGGTATGAGTGTGGACAATTTTTTGAAGCAATGATGAAATGTGTGGAAAAGTCCGGCGAAACTGCATCGTATTTTTATTTATTTATTTGGAAAACGCTTTTAGAGCAGCGGCACTCAATCGGTGCATCCAATACATCATTTATAGAATATAAATGGGATAAAACATATCATGCAAAAGGCCACTAAAAACATGCATACGCATGTACGACTATTGTGTGCACTGTACATGTATTTTCTTTAAGAACAATTTGACATATTTGTCAAACTTCACGTAATTATCATGTCCCCACAAGATTAAAGTGTCATTTCCCAGAGCCCAACATGTTTTTAGTTGTACACTTCCTGCTAGAAAGTCAGAGGAGAGTTGGTGGTTGCAGTTTGACACAACATTATTGAAAAATACATTCCTATCACTACCAAAGTAGGGACAGACAAAAAGTCTATGCTGTATAGTATCTTTAACATTGAGGTTACAAAAGAGACATATACCGTTGCCTTGACCCCATCTTTGAAGGTCAGAGCGAAGGCCAAAACATCCCGTTCTGGCCATGAATTTAATATGAATTTAATTTTTATTAATACCTCGCTAAATTAAATAATATTCTTTATATATTCCTAACGCACTAAGCAAGTAAATTCGCTATAACCAAACCAAATGAGAGTAAACACTTAGTAAGAACAAAAATTGCGCTTAAACCCATTAATTGTTGAGATCTTGGAGGTTAAAGTTGCAAAACCATGTTAGTTTTTTGAAAATTCAGATTGTTCTCACTGCTAGTAGGGTTATCTCAAATTATTTTTATTTTTATATAATAGTAAGATGTGTATCATCATACATCACTAACATTTGAAAGTCAAATAAGTCCCTCGCCCCTCTAAAGCCAAAACAGGAAAATATGGTACATATAGTAGTGTGATATACCATTGGAAAGATCATCCAAAGTTACTTTAAGTCACCAACTCTCAAGTAGTTTAGATGACATTTACCTTTATTTTGATGATTTTTTAAATAGTTGGTATGTCCCCCTTCAGTAGCTTTTATGGCGTCAGAACTAGGTGGATATAACTTAAGCAAAACGTCATAGTCAAAAAGTTTATGTGCATTTTCAAGACTTTTTAGTACTTTCTTTAAGTTTTTTAATAAAGCATCCTTTGAATTTCTGTTCTCTATGGGTTCCCTCATCCGCAAGTGCCTCTGTTCTATACTTAACTATGGATCCCATATGTTCGCAAGCATCACAATCAGGACTATTACTAAAGTAGTCATCACCCAAAACAGTCAATTTTTGACTGCTTGAGGAGATCCAGCGTAGCCAGTGCCTTAATACAAAGGGGCCTTATGTAACAAGCTCACTTGGGATGGCTCAAAGCAGAACAATAGCAAATATATCCTTTATGTTATGAAATAATCTTATAGTACCCCCTGAAATCGTAGGAATTGAAGTCCAATTCGGCTGTGAAAATTGTTTTTACCACTTTAAAGCCCATCACCTTATATTTTCTTACACCTACAAGGTTACTCTAATATATTGTATTGCCAAAAGTTACTTCTTGCAACCTTCCAGCAAAAGTGTGCCAGCATCTGATACATGAGTCAAATCTGTATATTGTTGTCGAAAACTACTTGAAAAGTTTAATTGCCTTTGATCAAGGATACATGTTCTATGTAGTATTCAACCGTTGAATTTAATTTACGATAATTAACCTACCTCTGATCTTATCTTAAAAATCATCTGTTCTAAAGACATTGTTGAAGCCATGTCGATACTTGTGATTACCTCCTTTGTCTAAAAATATAAAAGGTTAAGACAAATGTTCTGAATACTTCTTCAGAAAATTCAAATCAAAACTTGTATCCTAATTGTGTATCAAAATACTACAACTCGATGTGAGGTTCGTAGAATCACTGCTGCTGAGATCTATATGATAATATATATGGATGCACTTGCACATGTTTACATCACAACATTGTCCATACACGAAATATATAGACAAATCACTCATAAATTCCAACAGCAACAGTAATTTGGGAATATAGACGATGGGTTATTACAGGTACCTCATACGACGTTCAGAGGTGTTATTTATTTGCCTAAAACACCATAAAAATAAGGAGAATTCCAAAAAGTACTGAAAATTATTTTAATTTTTTTGTAAAATTGCATTTAATTTTCAACTTCATACAAATCACTCTATAAGTTGACCATTGTGGGAGTTTCACTGAAGCTGTAGGTGTTCATTGACACACCATCCAAATATTTTACCAAGCATTGGCATTACATTTAGCGTTCAAATATGAAATATAAACATACCTTCCCTCTAAGACCTCCATTTTGCCGGGCTTTGTCCACACATTTCATCATTGCTTCAAAAAATTATCCACACTTATACCAGGGGGTGAATTTTAGATGGTTGAGATTTTAGTGTTGACATCTGATCATAACCGACCCTAAGCAAATATCAATTACCCTGAAAAACTATTGGAAGAATGTAGGTCAAAGTAATCAAAACCCAGAACATAAAAAACCCAATTTGGAACAAGATATGTTAAATTTTGAAAATGAAACATCTTTCCCACCAGAATCCTTCTCATATATAACCTTTACAGCCGAAGAAATCCAACAGAAGATTAAATTACTGAAAAATAACAAATCGTGTGGCATAGACCGAATTCCAAATGAATTCCTCAAATATGGAGGACCAGCAGTCTCAAAATCTATCTTTAGAATGTTTCAATTTTTTATGATCAGAGAAGACTTTCCTTCTGATTGGAAAGATGGCCTCCTCAAACCTATCCACAAGAAAAACTCAATGAAAATCTTAGACAACTATAGGGGCATAACTGTAACCTCAAATATGTATAAACTTTATGCTGCTCTCATGGAAGACTCACTAATGGACTTTTGTGTGAAACGAGGAATTTTTGATGACTTCCAGGGAGCATTCATGAAAGGTAAACGCCTTGAAGATAGTATATTTACTTTGAAGGGACTTTGCGCATTAAGGAAAGACATTAAATTGAAAACTTTTCTAGCATTTCTTGATATTTCAAAAGCCTTTGATGTAGTAAGTAGGGACCTTCTTTTTAAGAAATTGTGGGAAAAAGGTATTAAGGGTAAGCCATGGCGCATTTTGAGAAAACTTTATGAGGGAATAAGGAATAAAGTTCTTTTTGGTAACTTTGAAAGTGACATGTTTGATTCAGAGTTTGGAATAAGACAAGGTTGTGCTCTATCCCCAACACTATTTCTCTTAATTATAAATGATTTGACAGAAAGGCTTAAAGAACATAATCTAGGAATACCATTTAAAAACTACAAAGTCCCTGCACTCTTATATGCTGATGATGTAGTTCTGATATCTGAATCTGAAGATCAACTTACTGAAATGCTGAAAGTTTCTAACTCATTTGCCAAATATTGGGGATTCAAATTTGACCCTAAGAAATCTCAAATTATGCCAATTGGTAGAAAAATTAATACAAATAATCAATGGAAACTTGGACAACTATCATTAAAAGAAACCAAAACATATAAGTATCTAGGTGTTATTTTAAATAATACTCTAAAAGACTCAGACCACTTTAATACACTTATTAAAGAGAAAGCTCGAAAGACCAGATTCTATATCTGTAGCACCCTTAATAAACACTCAAATCTAGAAAGATTCAAATTTGGGGATGTTTTACATAATAATGTTTTCATACCAGCAGTTCTCCATGCATGTGGAGTTATTTCATTTGACAATAATACAAGAATGAATGCTATGAACTCATATCAGTATAATGTAGGAAGAGCAATATTTAATATAAAAAGTACACCAGCTAGGGACGCTCTACTTGGTGACCTAGGTTGGAGACCAATTATGAATGTTATAGATAAACGTAAAATAGATTATTTTATTCATTTGAAAAATAGAGCTAAAAGTTGTAAGATCTTAGGTGATATTTACAGTGATATGTTCTCTAACTTTAAAGCAAAGAAAAGCTCAGTATGGCCATATATTGATTCCGTGTCAAAGATATTAACTGCCCATGGTCTAGACGGATGCATTTCATCCGAAAATGCAGACTGGTACGACTCATTTCTCAAAATCTCAAATGATCAAAGAAAATCTGAATTTATTGAAGCAATCAATGATAAAAAGTCTTTGAACCTCTATAAAAATTTGAAATTTAATACAAATAAAGAGAAGTACCTCATGAACCATACAGACTTTTACACCTCTCGACTAAAGTTTCTGGCCAGAACAGGCTGCTTTAACCTTGAGGAAGACAGAAAAAGATGGAAAATAAGTAACGGTTTTTGTAAATTATGTAACTTAAATGTAATAGATGATCCCATCCATCGTTTCCTCCTCTGTCCTCATTTCCAGAAACAAAGAACTGAATTTATACATGATTTAAGTAGTAAATGTGATGCTCCTGTTGTGTCTCAGTACCTAAATTTCCCCCCACAAATGAAATTAGAGTGGATTCTTGGGGATGATGTGTTTAACATTTGGGGGCACGACAATGGCTGGAATTTTGATGTTTGTACAAAAAGATTTCTGCAAAAGGTGTATGTGAAACATAACACAGCGTGATTTTAGCCTATTTTAATGATTTTACTAAAAGCTTATGTTTCATATTCCTCTACGGATTTTAGTAAAAAATGTATCGTTTGTATACTACATATATGTAATATTGACGCACCTTTGAGTGCCACTGTTATAAAAGTGACTGTCAAATAAATAATAAATAAATAAATAAATAAATATGAAGTTTGTTTACACTATTGATTTTCTATTTGTTTTCATATATAAAAACGTACTAATCTTGTATAAATATTTAATTTTGTAATATGGTAATTTATTTTAACCTTCTTTGTAGATGCGTTCAAATATGTGTGATTTAGAGTAAAATGTTTTAAAAGCATAAAAATTGACTGATAGACAGAATCCATTTTGTAGTTGAGGATTTTTCAATAAAATGACGTTTCCAAATTACTAGCTAATTAGGGTGAAGGCATCCCTCTAAAGTACTCTACCGGTCATTTGATTCAATAATAGTATGTCCTGAAATCACCGAAAGAGTTATTCAGTTAAAAGCATTTTCCTAATTCACTCCAAGGCTATTTCAATAAAAAGCGTATTCCCAACTTACTAGAGAGGTTATTCAGAAAAGGCACACCCTTCAACTGCTATAAGCGTTATTCAGTAAGAATCAAGTCTCAATATTTATATTTTTTAATAAAAGTCAACATTGTATTTACAGTTTTTTGGAGAAGCCTGGACAAACGAAGATGACATTAACATGATTGCAGAGTCAGATGATGCAATTGAAAGAGCCATTGGAGCAGGGAAAGGAATGGAGCTTGATTATTTTCCATGGCTCCGGTTTTTTGGGAACACTTCATATGAAACAATTAAACAATTTATTATTAGTCGAAATGCGCTGCACGATAGATGGATTCCCTACTCAAAGGTACAGTATACCAATAAAAATCAATATAGAGCTTAACTTTGTGGCAAGGCTCTTTGACATTCTATACTAATGGCTTTTGAGACTGGGTGTTGTCTGTACTAGATATTTCCTTGAAACTTTTATAATTCTAGACCATAGTTTGAAAGCTACATTCGTTATGCTCATTTGTTATGCTTATGATCTTAAATGTTTCCTTTCCTTACCGTATTTTTGTGATAGTGGAGACTTTAAGCTTGCGTATAAATCCTAACGACAACCTGTATGTATTAATCGCCCGATACAAATGCATGTAGTTGTCTCACATAAATAATCGTTCGGTTTCAGTGTTTTCTTAGTGCGTTACTTAGACTGTACACACCATCATGTAATATGCCCAGATGCCATTGATAGTTATATAGCTTGTTTTCTATGATACATATTTTAAACTCGTTTTAAGATATTTGGAGCTGAAACATGTATGACATACATGATTTTCTTTAGAAAGCATTATACTGTGCATCGAAATAGTATAGCATAGTATTCAATAGACGTGAATATAATGATTCCCGTTGACACCAACGTGAAATTGCAAATCTCCCGTTCTAAACACGAAACTGAAGCTGATCGAGCTGATGTGAAAAACATTGCAAGCTGAAAGTCTCCACTGTTTGACACTCGAGCTTACATAATACTTAGAAAGATAGATAGGTATTATGTCAAGTTATTAAAGCATTGTAATACGCATTGAATAATAGTGATTACGCAATTCATAAGTGTTACCAAGCATTAGAGGACAACTATTTCTATGTATAAATGTCTTTGCTGCGTCTTATGTAGGATACGATGGAGAAAGGAAAGATTCGGGGCATGGTCGACTGGTTACTAACATCGCAGGAGAACGACCCAACATTGACTGATACCAATGTTCGAATGATTATGATGAATCTTCTATACGCAGGTATGCTACTTTTCAGATCAATTCTTTCGGGTCGTTCCAAAACGATGCATTTTGATGTATTTTAATATTTTCATCTTAGTCCGTTACTTAGACTACATTTCATCGTGTACTATTCCATTGAAAGTTGCTGGTTTCTGTGATATATATTTCAAACAACCTCGTTTTGTAAGGTATTTGGAGCTAAAACTTGCATGACATACATCATTTTCTTCAGAAAGTACTTTGCTGTGCATCGAAATCAAAATTACCAGCATATTATTCAAAAGACTCCCGTTGAGACCAACGTGAAATTGCAAATCTCCCGTTCTAAACACGAAATTGAGGCTGCGTTTTCAATGCCCGCGGCGCAAATAGATTCCCGTTGAGACCAACGTGAAATTGCCAATCTCCCGTTCTAAACACGAAATTGAAGCTGCGTTTTCAATGCCCGCGGCGCAAATATATTCCCGTTGAGACCAACATGAAATTGCAAATCTCCCGTTTTAAACACGAAACTGAGGCTGCGTTTTCAATGCCCGCGGCGCAACTCGGTTGCAAGTCTCCATTATCTAATAAGAACGCCACAAGCTGGAAATATGAACAGAGTTTGTTGTACTAATTTTTGGGTTTTATATTATTTCTTTATAGGCATCTCAACAACAGAGAGCACCATTGAATCAGGAATTATAATATTGATGAACTATCCGGAAATTCAAAAGAAAGTCCAAATAGCTATTGACAAAGGACTTGGAGACAGGTAAACGCAAATGGCAAACTTTCTGTTTCTTCTTTCATTCACAACAATCGAATGTTGCCTTTCCAGAGCTGTCAAGTGTCCCGCGAATGGCGGGATTATCCCGCGAATTTGATCAAAATTAGGCTAATTCGCGTGTCCCGCAATGTCCCGCGAAGTCCCGCAAATGTGGCTTTGACCTCCGCGAATTTCCGAAATTGTTGCAATCCCCTATATTGTGATTATCTTATATAAGAAGCTAAGTTTTTGCACTTTTGAGGAGTAAAGTTTACCTAATTTTAAGTACCTATACATGTAGCATGCTGTTGTTTGGTATCAAAATAAAGGGGAAGGGTTCAACTTTCATTTTTTTTACGAAAATAGGGATGTAGGTCACAAATAGTTCCAACGTTGGCCTTTTTACTACCCGTGTGGCTTTCATCTCAGAACTGAGCAAATGTTAGCAAACGCGAGTAACAATAAACGGACGCTGATATCTAGAAAGGGTTTGTAGAAAAAACCGGGTACCTGGTAGTAAATCCTCCATGCTGGGTTCAAACTTGGTACCCGGTACCCACACTCAAGCCACGTATTCCTTTCATTATAACGAATTTTATGTAACATGACTTTATGCTTTTATTCCGCTATTTAATATACGCTCTACCATGAGTATTTGGTATCAAATTAAACGTCTCTTAATCCTGCAAAATATCATTTAGTTTTTATCTCAGGGTTATAAAAGCTGAACGCATTATCAATCGTCGAACATTCCAAACTATCATTTTTTGCCTTGTAACCGATCACCCTTATGTTGATTGACAGTAACTTTTTTATATTCTGAAACGTATTTTGTTATAATAATTGACTATTTCATCACAAAGACTGCATCGTGTCGATTGTACGTTAGCTGGAATTAATTTATTTGCTAATTTACTATTGAAAAATCGACATTAAGTATGTGTAACCCTCGAAGGCACCATCATCGACACCATGCTTGAAATCAACGGTGTCGAGAAGCCTCTGCACTATTCGTGATAATTCCCCATTTACTTCTTTGAAATATAAATTGCCTTACTAACGGATGTAAAACATTTTCACAATACATTTGAATATAACATATTTAGCTTGTTACGTATTTTTCGACGTAAAGTACTATTTTTCAAAATCATCATCGACTCTACAAGTACGTTGTCTTTGCACTCTGCTTTCAATCAAAATCAGGTTTCAATGTTAAGTAATGGTGTTGACGGTTTGTCTCAATATATATTGATAATATAAAAATACGCTTTATTGATGTTATTCTTTGACCACGTAAAGATTGAGATATTTAGGACCATCAACGACTCCACCACATACGACTCCAAAATACTATCCAGATATTAAGTAGGTCACATGTATAATCGAACGCTATATATTTGTTGAATGAACCTACATTCATTAAATGACTATTTTGTTGTATGTGTAGCATTTTACAGTGATACCGGGCTAAGGATTTAGAGGATATTGTTCATTGTGATTACAACGAATAGTGATAAGTAAAATTGAATCTATTAAGCAGATCATGTTATTTACTTATGATGCATATTCTGTTTGTCTTGAAATGCTATGGTAATGTGACACAAGAATTGGGATGATTGAGCAGTTCATAGTTTTATAAAATCACTGACAAATATAGATGCACATTCCCCGATATTTCTTAATTTATAAACGTTTCGTTTCGTGTACCACTAGACGAAATGTATTTCTTGCCATTATTGTAAAACAATAAATATTTCATTGGGATAATCAGTTTTGTGACATTTTATTAATGTACATAATTTCCCACACTCTCATTAATATATCTGTCTTACTTATCAGACCTTTCTGATGATATACGAATATGGCACTCATCACGCCGAGAAGTGCCGTCGTTCCCTACAGAGTACAGTACAGGTAGAGAAAGAAAAAGAAGGATACTAAAGGCTACTTAGAGCAAGAACGATTGCGACAGCGAGCATCGTATACACCGAGAAATAACCTGTCTGCTGAAGCTATTCAACGGATCGGAGAAAAGAACAACAAGGCATCCCGGGAATACAGGACACGCATACGCCAAGTGTATAGAGAAACAATCAAAACACGCCAGACTGAAGGGAACGCTCAGAGTCTCAAAGTGAAACTGCCAGGACACAAATGAAAATCCAAGAAATCCCAGAACGCATTATTAAAACATTGAAGATAAGGCGACTGGACTTTTAAAGCCAGTACCAGGTATCTTTCGAATCAATGCTGTGAGAGGGGTTTCCGATAATATTGTTGAAACGCGAGAATTATCGTGCTATTGTGACGCATGCAGAACAGATACGTCATCCTCACCCAGTGGTTGGCAAAGGAACAACCTTATAACCGTTAGGAAGACCCAGCAGGCAGCTAAGGTGGGCACCGAGCAACCATCTTTAAAACCAAAACGGAGCACACCCGACACCCAGTACGTCAAGTAAAGCATCGACGCCCTCCGACGTTTCCACTCTTTCAACCACATTGAAGCGTCGGCCTTTAGTAACCCCATCTACAAGTTCAAAGTCTTCAGACACAATTGTTTCCGCGAGGAAAAAAGGAAAGGCCCGATAAAAAGAACAGACACTGTAAATATTTGCAAGGCATGCGGTGTCAACTAGAGGTGTCAAGTATTAACCGGTTAACCGGTTAACCGCCGATAATGCCTTGACCGGTCTGAGTTTTTATGGGCGGTTAGTTGACCGTGTATAATTCTGTTATTTCCCGCGCTTATTTTGCATGCTAATCCGTTTGGTTTTATGGTGTCAGTTTCACGTAAGCTACTCATACATGTCATAAGTCCCATAACTCCTTACAAACATCCAATCAGCAACTTTAATCCCTGCCACATTGCTTTCCCGCGCTTACTTTGCATTTTAATCTGTTTGTTTTTCAAGCGTCAGTTTCATGTGAGCTACTCATACATGTGATAGGTCCGGCGATAATTCCTTACAAGCATCCAATCAGCAACTTTAATCCCTGCCACATTGCTTTCCCGCGCTTACTTACATAGAATAGCGTAAAGCTTGACGAACGTAAAAAATAAACGCCGATATATCATTTTTCCAATTTTTTCAACTTTCAAGATCGAAGATGAAGATTTCATTTGAAATTATAAGTTCAAATTTCCCGCCGGTTAACCGACTTTAACCGGTAAAAACCCCTGGTTAACCGGTTAATGCTCAAGCGGTTAATTGACACCACTAGTGTCAACTATTATTCGTATTTACAATCGCAGTTCGAATGGATCAAGTGCTCTAAATGTCCCGACTGGTTTCATGATTCCGGGAAATGTTCTCGTGCAAAGGGGATACTCATTGGAGAAATATTTCCATGCATTAATTGCAATAAAAGACCTTAAATGTGTAAATTATGTAAACGTTATTGTTTAAAAACCTAAGCGACCATCAGCGACACTGTTAAATAACACTTAATATCACAAGGAGGAGTGATTGACCTATTCGTAACAATGTTGTATTTTGATGTAAAAAGACATATGTGTCTAATTTGTACATTCATTTTGTCGATCGACGAATTGACTTGGCATTTTATTTAGCTTAGAAAACAAAATCTTGAAATGAATTATCTTTAGGGAAACTCAAAACAATGTATTTCAATGGTTATCTTAATAAAATTCTCTTGTTAAGATAAACAACAACTATTGCAATTTATTTTTGTTCATGTGATTGAATAATTCAAACTTAATACATTAGTTTATCTTTAAACTCAAAATTAATTTTGAAACATGAATCAATGTAAGCCTATGTATGCACCATCATCGACACCAGCAATTTAAGAGTATATTTATGTTTTGATGCACAATCAAGTAATTGTTTAAAGGGTAATAAAAATATTTTGAGAAACACTTCTTTAACCCCATGGCTAATGGTATATGCATTTATATCTCAATCTAAAATTTCATTTTTTCAACTTTTACATTGATCAAATGTGAAAGAGATTCGTGGCTTGACTGACCCAGTCAAAAAAACAGGTACCCAAAAAACGAAAAATACGAATATATAACATAATTAGATTATGAGAAAACGTGTAAGATTTGTTTTGAATTTACAAAAATGTATGTAACATCCTTCAAAATTGAGCTAGAAGCTTCAAATAAAAAGCATGTTTTAAGGCTCTTTACTTCCTCTATTGTCATGGCCATATTCTCATTGGTTATGTGGGGGGGGGGGGGAGGTGCGATCGCACCATCGCACCCTCTCTTGGCTACGCCTATGACATTGTAAGACATAACAATTTACAATTCAGTGGACATTTTGTCGAAAATTGGGATAACTTAAATTATGATTAATAATCAAAATCTTACACGTTGCATCATGTAAACTAACACGCGTCACCTCTCTGCTAAAGCAACGATAGCTATTTACAGATTTAAATAATAATCAAAACAATTCACGTACCAACATACGAACTATTGAAAATAGAGTAAGATTAATTTCTCTTGTTTTTCAAATCGTCTTACAATGTCATTGGCTTAGCCAGGAGGGGGTGCGATTGCGCCCCCCCCCCTTCATTACCAATGGAAATATGACCATGATGATAGAGGAAGCCTTAAAATGCTATTTATTTGAAGCTTCTAGTTCAATTTTGAAGGAAGTTACATACATTTTTGTAAATTCAAAACAAATCTTACACGTTTTCTAATGATATAATTATGTTGTATATTCGTATATTTCGCTTTTTGGGTACCCAGTTTTTTCGACCGGGTACCAAGTTTGAACCCAGCATGGAGGATTTACTACCCGCTACCCGTTTTTTTCTACAAACCCTATCTAATGGCACGATATAGTGACACGATAATATTTACACATGGTTTCAGCATAACTATGAAGGTATAAATGAGATGTTGATGTATTTGGTCTTTTAAATTCTTTTATAAATTATAATGTTTAATTTTTTTGTCCGCTGTGACGGAGCAGTTGCAAATGTGAACTGTGAAAATTCTCCGTCACAGCGGACAAAAAATATTA